ACCCTGCTGGGTTACAGGGCAACACGACTCGCCCCAGCTCCGGCCAGCGTCGTCCCAGCAGCAACCCTTGGTTGTCCCTTGGAATGGCCACCCCAAAGCATCCCCAGATCTCTCTACCAGGCCTCACACTCCTGCATCAGCAGGTTACATGTCTGCTCTTACCAGCACCACTAGCATTCACTCGGGCTGTTGTTAAAAAAAAAAAAAAAAAAGGGCAGCACCCCAGCACCGGCCAGCGTCGTTCTGGCATCGAACAGCCGCATATCACTGAGTATATCAGCAATGGAGCCATTTAAGATGAGTTGCTAGGAGTCCCCAGAATCTTAAATCATTCCTAAGAACCCCATTGGCAACCATGAACAAACCAACAAGCCTTGGATCATAGGAACATTCAGATTTAAAAAAATACCTGCCATAGTGCTTTAAACAACCCAAACCTATCTGCCTCCCCCCCATATCCTGATACTCAATCTCTACCAGGCCTCACACCCCCAACTGCTAGGTTACAGAGTGGCATGACCCACCCCAGAAAACCCCCACCTGCTAGGCTACAGGGCAAAGCGACCCGCCCCGGCTCCGGCCAGCGTCGCCTGGATTTCCATATGTGATCCGAAGCCACGGAGCCACAGACACAAGAAAACGGAAACAGATGGGGCCTTGCTCTACTACTCAACATTTCGGAAAAATGTCTGGGCTGTTTCACACCCAAGATGCATTTAAACTGATCGAACACTTTGAACGTATTGGGCCCCTCTGCAGTCCAGATACATTAATTATGCTGTGTAGTGGGAGCAAGCCCAACAGAGGAGAAAAAGGAACACAGAGTTCTGCAGAGCAACTGCTAAACTGTATGCGGCAGTGGTGTGCCTCTGTTTCAAGCGCCAGTACACAAGTTCTCGATCAGGCAACACAACTGGAGGACAGCAGACCAGACTCATCCGACGTGGGATGGGTGTTGGATTCTGGGGTGTCAACACCCACCAAATTTTCAATCAGCAACTACAGACCAAAATTGGGATACAAGCTACACTTGAAAGCTCCCTCTCTGAAAGCACAATCATGCCTGTCGTGGAATAAACGTTTTAATCCTATGCCTTTTTTAACATTTGTGGATAAGTGGTTACCTTTCTATTGCCAGATGATCGCAGGTATCACAGAGATCAAGATGGGAGGGCTGCAGTGGATGCATATGCACTCATGTGTGCCCACTGCAGAATGGTGTTCAGAAAAAGGCATGATGGTAAGTATCTTCTGTGACCATTGCCCCTACCCAAGGGTGGAATCCTCTGCACACCTATGGTGGGAATGTGTGGTGGCCAGAGGTTTCTGGGAATGGCTACAAGACACATGGTTTAGAGCTTACGGGGATTCTAACCTATGGACTCAACAATTTGTGATCTCTGGAGTTACTACAGCAACGAAAGGTAAGGTTGTGGCCTACAAATTCCGGGCAATAGCTTTCTGGATCCTTTGGCTAGCACGTAGGGATAGAAGGCTTTGCTCTAAACCTACCTCTCAGACTGGTATCAGGAACCAATTTCGATATTCGGTTCGCCTGCTAATATTAGCAGAACTAAGGAAGGAAAAGAGTCTCAGATTGTGGGAACAGCCCTTTAGATGGGCAGGATCATTGGCTTCAGGCCAAGTCTATTTTTCCAGACTGCTGTGGGATGAACAGTCTGTTATTTGAAAGCAAGTCCTTTTAGAATTAGCGACAGGGAGAAAGCTAACCCTTGTGTTAAAGGATTGAGCAGGGATAGTCACTAGACTGTCAAGAGGGGTGCTCTTTGTCTGATTCTGCAAGGACTTGCCCAAGCCTATTAGAAATGCTTCCTTCAGAAAGGACGCTGGACCTGGTTTCCAGCCGGTAGTTTGTTTTTCTTTCTGAGGACTCTGGACCTGTTTTCCAGAATGGTCACCCGAATAGGACGCTGGACCTGTTTTCCAGCAACCCGGGTAGAACTGTGAGGTCCCCGGCCTCTTCTGAATTTCTGTTATTTGTAATGAAGAAATGAGTTGCTGAAAAAAAAAAAAAAAAAAAAAAAAAACACGCGAGTTTCAAACTCCTAAATTTTGGCCGTGCGGAGCTCTACCGGACAGCAATGGCTGGCCGCATCAGCCAAAAAAGGAAAAAAGCGCACCACCGCTGGCAGATCGGAAAAGCTTGGTGCACACTCCAGGCCCGGGCGTATGGACGGTTTAACACATAGGGCATCGCCACACCACTCCCGAAACGTGCAAAATGAGAATGGACTTCCCCCTAGAACATGGCCAGATGCACCTACCACATTTTTGTCTTTTTCAGATTTCGAGAGTGGTGTGGCAAGGCCCATATGTGCCCTGTTGACTCTCTTTTTGACAGGTTGTGAATGTGATTGACTAAACAGAAAAAAAGAAGAAAAAACAAGTACAGGCAGATGCCAACTGAGCCCATCAGACGGGGGGGGGGAGAGAGAGAGAGAGAGAGAGAGAGAGAGAGAGAGAGAGAGAGAGAGAGAGAGAGAGAGAGAGAGAGAGAGAGAGAGAGATCAAAAAGAACAATGGAGCCAGCGGCACCGATCTCGCAGTGTAACCACGTCGTCGCGGCACAAGACGGGAAGAAGTTCAGGAAAATTTAGAAAAACCTGGATGATTGCTGGTCTATTGCTAGGCT